GAACATTGCAATCACCCCCAAGACCCGAGTAAGTACATCATAATGTACAAGAGACTGTAGGGTGTGGTTAGACAACATTTTTGAAGTATCTCAAAAATTTAAACCAACCAGGAACAAAAAAAAAAGGGAACAGAAAAGAGCCAGAAAAAGGGAACTGTGAATGACCCTATTATATCCATACTTAACTAAATGACCATCAGCAATGAGGCTGGTGAGGAGTGCAGAAATGAGTAGGTGAGAGATCAATTTCAGACCGATGCTGCTGACAGAAGCTGTCAAAATTGTGGCAGTGTGATCCCATCATTATCTACTTTGTTTCTCCTGCCACCAAGACTGTTGCACAAGTTTGTCCTGTGAAAATGCTGGCAGCCAATATCTCTCTGCTGATTAACACTAATACCTCTCTCTGTTACATCCGTGTGCCCAACCTTCCGGTTGAGCTTCTGGTCTGGTTACCGGAAGCTCAGCTGCTGGCTTGAGTTGTGCATGGATTTCTGTTCTGAGCATCAGTACAGGGGAATTATGATCCAAATCAATGATCTGTACTACAACTTGGGTTTTTCCATCTGCTACGGGTCTATGGATTTAAAATCCAAAATTTGAGCCTAACTGAGGCCAAAATTGCTTAGTCTCCCATAGTCAGACTCCACAAGTTTTATGACAGTCAATAAAACTTTTATACGGAGTCTGATTTTATTCGCATACCCCTTACCACGACTCGGATTTTCGTGATCGCTGAGTGATCACATGTGATACTTCCCACATTCCCAATTGGAACATGCCTTGGCCAGCACCATGTCATTTCACATTGCGTGTTTTCTTTGCTCTTCTCCTCCCTCAACATGTCCGACACATTCATGTGGAGCTCCCCTGAAGGCTTCAACCTCGTCCACACTATCATCAGCTCAACAGCTATTCCATATGTCCCGCACAATTACCGACCGGAAGGGCTCTGCAAGAGCCTTGATGGAATCAATCTTTTCGTGATTACACCGACTGGCAGTAGCAAGACCTCATTCTACATTCTCTACATTCTCGTCATCCTGGCCGTTGTCAATGACCCCAGCCTTTGCCCATCTGCTGAATTTCTGCAAAATCCTGGCCTTGTTATAATCTGTCTGATGGTCCCTCTGTAGCTGGAAATGGTGCATGATTTGTAATTGTATGCATGTATAACCAGCAATAGTGTATGGTAGGAGGCTAATATGAAGAATTTCGGGCTCAAAGCTATCGCCATAAACTCCCAAACACCTCCAAACACGTTGTCAAGCCCTTTGACATCACAATCAAGATCTGTGGATGCAAGCCCGTACCAAGCCAAACGTGATTCTCACCAGACCTGAACAATTGAAGTTGAGTGAATATGATGTGGTAGGGTTGTATGGCCGGTGTGTGGAAACTCAACCACATGCTGGTTTCGGTGTTAGCACAATTTATTTTTATCTTGCTTACATGATTTGTTTTGTCAGTAAATATGCGCCCACAGGCCACAATATCATCTCTTACCTTCTCCGTGTTTTCTGTGCCCTCCCAAGTGAGCTACAAACTCTCAACACTGCACACTTTGGTGTAGTAACCCCGTGACCACAACAATTTGACACCACTCAATTTTTCATCACTATTGACACCCTATTGCTACTCTCTCGAACCTCGCATTCCTCATGATACCAGTCGACTAGTTTATCCTCCAAAAATCTACTCTAAATTTGATGGATCACCAACCCTTATCAACGAACCTTCGACAGGCTCCCTGCCTCTTCTACAATGAGAAGGCCTTGCATGATGAGATATTTCAGGAACAGTTTTGCAGGACCAGGTTTGATGAGGTTCACCTCCTGAATTCCTGGGGAGTGAGCTTTCAGAAGGAGTTTTTGCAGATGGGTTTTGTTCATGCATGCATGACCAGATCACACAACCCCTGGATTCTCATGTCAGCAACAGTGCATGAAGGCGCACCATTCAACATTTGTGAATTCCTGGGCTTGGATGACACCAACTTCCATCTAATCCAATGTTCTTTTACTCACCCTGATGTTCAGATGTTGTTCTGCGACCTAGTATCCCCAATTTCTGGCGACCTGTTTCCTGAACTCGGCTGGATCCTCCTCACTGATGGCCATCCATCAATCATTTTTGCCAAGGATTATGGGCTCGGTTCACGCATATACGCATATTTACTCCAAAATTCAATGTCCAACAATCCCAATCTTATCCACATTTACAATTCCCTCAACTTCAACTCATAACACAGAAACATGAGAATTATTGAAGGGAACACTGGGAGAAGCGAACTACTGCCAAATTGTGATTGGAACTGACTGTCTGTCTGTTGGAGTAGGAATGCCTGTGCAGCTGGATTGCATCATGATAGGTGACAGAGTCAAAGATACTGATGCCTTTCTGCAGAGGCTTGGACGCATTGGAAGAACAAAGGGTGGAAATCAATGTGCACATGGAATCATCCATCTCTCTGCCGCCTCTCGTAAACTCGCTCAAAAATCATTAGATGACCATGTGGCAGGTATCTTGAAGGCCAGGGAAACACCCCCTGACCTCAGTATGCCAATCTTAATCACTGTGCTGTGCAAGGTTATTGCACAGAACAAGATCTACAACAACCCCCCATCTGATCCCAATGCACTTGTCCCCCCTGTATCTCCAATCCTCCTGCCGGTCCACGAACTCCATGTGATTATAGCGGCTAGAAATAATTACGCCTCTAGTACGAGCAACCTGTGCCTCCAAGGTCAATACAAAAATTAGCAAGGCAAAATGGTTATCCAAAATTCAAAAAGCTCACAGCTTTCAACGTCTACTGGAACTCTGTCTTGAAATCTGGCAAGCATCAGACCAAACAAAATGTTGGATCTACCCGCTGACTGTCTATACTCATGATGGGTTTTCTTAGGGAATCAGATGAAATTTGGAGAATCCAACATAATTTAGTGGTTGGCTGAGCTCTGCAAACACTTGAGAAATACATAGAAAACTGAGCTACTTATATACTAAACTGTCCCATGTAGCTAGAACATTCCATGTTGTTCTGCAGTGTTCTGCAGTGTTCTCTACTGACTCATACTGACTCAATGTGACTCCTCACCTCAGCCATGATGCTGGGTTGCCTATTCTGGCGCTAACCAACATGGGCCATTTATCCACAGATTTCGGATTTTAAATCTGTAGCCCTGGAGGGGATGGCAAGGCCCAAGTTGCAGTGCAGATCATTCAATTGGAACGAAATCTACCTGTCCTGATGCTCAGAATGAAATCCATCCACAACTCAAGCCAGCAGCAAGGAGATACTCGTGTTGATGGGGAATTTATCCACAGATTTAAGATTTCAAATTTGTAGCCCTGCAGTAGGTGGAAAGACCCAAGTTGCACCTGTACTGATGCTCAGAACAGAAATCCATGCACAACTCAAGCCAGCAGCTGAGCTTCCGGTAACCAGACCAGAAGCTCAACCGGAAGGTTGGGCACACGGATGTAACAGAGAGAGGTATTAGTGTTAATCAGCAGAGAGATATTGGCTGCCAGCATTTTCACAGGACAAACTTGTGCAACAGTCTTGGTGGCAGGAGAAACAAAGTAGATAATGATGGGATCACACTGCCACAATTTTGACAGCTTCTGTCAGCAGCATCGGTCTGAAATTGATCTCTCACCTACTCATTTCTGCACTCCTCACCAGCCTCATTGCTGATGGTCATTTAGTTAAGTATGGATATAATAGGGTCATTCACAGTTCCCTTTTTCTGGCTCTTTTCTGTTCCCTTTTTTTTTTGTTCCTGGTTGGTTTAAATTTTTGAGATACTTCAAAAATGTTGTCTAACCACACCCTACAGTCTCTTGTACATTATGATGTACTTACTCGGGTCTTGGGGGTGATTGCAATGTTCAATCTATGTATTATGGAAAAAAGTAATGCAAAAAGGGATGAAAAAGGGAGCCACAGACCAGGGTGTTCACAGTTCCCTTTTTTCAGCCCTTTTTTGCTCTCTTTTTTCTTGGTTTTTATTCAGTTTTGCCCTTGGTAAGTTGATTTTTTCCCTTTTCAACCCTTTTTGCATGCCTAAATTGAAAAGGGGAAAAAAGCTGGAACAAAAAACAGTAGGAATACAAAAAGGGGAGAAAAAAGGGAACAAAAAAGGGCTGAAAAAAGAGAACTGTGAATGTCCCTGATGTGTGTAATTAAGTGGGAGAATTTGTAGCTACTTGCAGTGCAGGAATACTTCAAGCTGTATGTATTTTTATGTTACCAACAAAGTTCAGACTTACTCAAGCACATAATCCAGAACCATCGCATATACCACTGCTGTCACCTCGCTTTAGCTAGGTCCCCCACCCTCTCAATTCTGCACCTGAAACCTGCCAGGAACAGATATGTCCAAACAATACAGCAATGCAGCTATAAGAAATTCGCGGTTTCGCCAGGAACAAATACGTACAAATTCCGCGTACCTCAGGGGAAAACTTTACAGACACGTGGGTCGTGGCCGCTCGTTCGGAAGACCGGGAAGAAGAAAAACCAGGTATCGCCTCAGTGCATAAAGCAGACAGATTGTGTACTCAACCGGTGTGGATTGCCAATTTGGAATAAGAGATTACTATGGACAAGGCAGACGGTGGATAGTGTACTGTTTAAATTCTTCTTGGTCAGAACACTAACAGGGAGCGAGGTTGCAGACGGCGAAAGCCGGCACCTAGTTAGCATACAAAGAAGAGTATCCACCTGTGCAAATTATATGGTGTCTGTCGCCAGTAAGTTAGAGGTGCAAACTCCTTAGGAGTTGTGCCAAGTTCTGGGTGCACAGATTTGTGTCTGTACAGTCTCTGTTCTGCTGGTATTCATGGGCAACAGTTGAAGTCCTCTGCACAGTCTTTGTACTGCTGTTCTCCATAGGCAAGATGGCCGAGCGGTTAAGGTGTGGACCTGTTGAGAGATAGGTGGGAGTTGTGTTGAGGTCCTCTGTGCAGTCTCTGTGCTGCTGTCTTCCAGTGGCAAGATGGCCGAGCGGTTAAGGCGTGTGACTCAAGTTTAACAACTTATCCCGACCGGGGTTTCTCATCACGTAATGTGGCGTGGGTTCGAGTCCCACTCTTGTCATCTTTTTCTATCTTTCATCTTTTTCTGTCTTTCTCCATCTTTCACCAATCCTCTTCCTTTTGCACCACTTCTTGGAACTTGGCTGGCCGAGCAGTTCCACCCCGCCTCGCTCCAACACTCTTTATCTCAGAATCATTGGAGTCTGACGTCCAATTCCACCGCTGCATAATCCAAGTCCCAATTTTCCATCAAGCAAGCTGACGGTCTCTTTCACCCTCCATCAGCCTCCATCTTATCCTGAACCACTTATCAAACCATCCCTTCACTGGATATGCGCGGCGCCCTCGGCGCCGCCGCGTCCGGCCAGCTTCAACCTCCTCCGTCGACTTGGACACTGGTTAGAATTGGCACCCCTGCGTGTCACCGGCATGCTCATAAAGAACGACTTCACCGGACCCGCTCCATGAACCATAATTCATATAATGAAGCAAGGCGGACGTTCCACAACCTTCCTTGACAGACTGCATTCGTCGGCACTATGTGAATCACTGTATATTGAATTCAAGTCGTACTTACTACAGCACAACGATTCTATCGATAGATCTGGTATGTCTAACAGCGCACCCTTCTAGTTGACTCGCGGGTCTTGCGGCGCCGCGACCCACAATCTGGTCTGTCTCTCCGACTCTCTGACCCAGCACGATTGAAAAGACAATCATCCATATCCGGATAATCCAACATTACTAGTAGCCTCTTCCACCTTCCTATTTTCCCGGGCGCGGCGCCTGCGGCGCCGCCGCCGCACTCCGCCAATTCCTCCAACATTCTTCAAGTTAAGTACAATCCAGCATGCCTTCCGATTGTAACACTCTTGATTGGCCGCGCCTCCGGTGCCGCCGGTAATTACATTCTCTTCTCTCCATGCCGATGCAGTTCAACAAATATTCCACCTTGTTGGTCCGCCCCACTTTGACCTGTCATCTTCCTTCCCATCTTTAAACCAAACCATGCTTTCACAGGGTGAGCGCGGCGCCTTCGGCGCCGCCGCCGCGCTCGACCAGTTCCTCCGACGCCTTGATCCACAATCGCATCATATCTACTATAGCACGGGCACCTGGATACCGGAATTGATTTTTTTTTCTTTCTCTAACGAATGCCCGGCAGCATCTCGATGTTACTGGATCAAGCACCTGATTCCCTATTCCATTTATGCAGGAGGGACAACTTGTTGTTCGCGCCAGTTACGCTTGACAGACTCCATCGCTCGTTATATTCACACCACTTCAGCAAATCCAACGAAGAACTTGGAGTGCCCTCCCAACCGACAGCGTTGAAACTCCCTTCAACTTTCTTCGCTCTAAGCAGGACGCGCTTAACGCGACGGCCTAAGACACGACCAACTCTCGCTGCTTTTTGGAAAACCAACAAATCCCTGTTCAAAAAGGTCCATTAATTTTCCAAGTCCAGCATCGCGATAATACCGCTGCTTGGTGCTTTTCAAGATTCGAACAACTAGGCAGACCCAGAATATTCTGAACCGAAAAGGTACAGTCCAATCGAATCAAAACCAATTGATTGTAATAATTGCTAGTCTCTCCGGCAATGTAGGTGGACTGTTGAAGCTCGAAGCGCCTCGTGCACTTCATCAATATCCACGATTAAGGCCTTGGATCCATCGCAGGCACTGGGGCCTTCGAAACCATTTCCCGACCACTTTCAACTGCTCTTCCAGTTGAGCTGGTACCTGACCCGCGACCCGCCATTCTGACCAACCTAGAGCGCAATTGGTGAATGTCGAGCTGGTTGCTTTCAATACTCTTGGAAAACCGACGAACCCTTGCATACTCTGGTCATTCAGCAAACGGCAAACGGCTCGACAGCAAAAATACGATCAATTGCACACAGAGACTCGGAGATTCCTAACACTTGTAATCCCTCATGAACTGACAGCATAGATCAAGTGGAAGTACCAAAAACCGTAAACGCTGGCTCAAAGTCTTGTTACCTTTTCATTATATTGCATAGCCTGAACCTCGATTGAACAGCCGCAAGCGCTTGGAAGAATACTTCGTATTACGACGGCGTCGAAATGGGACCGGAGGCCGAGCGTGACGTTCATCTGGCCCAGTTCACCTCCCAGGCGAAAGACTGGGAAGGAAATCTGACGTGAACAACACCGCCCCCAGCTGTCGACTTGGCTCTCTTCCTCGGTAGAAATTTGGACGGAAAGCGGCAATAACGATTACATTAGAATTTCCAGTGCAGCTAGCACTGAATAGATAGCAAGTCAATACAACAAGGAAAGCTCAACGTCAACCCGCCGTCATTTATGACAAGTAGATTCCTCCGGGCGCTCGAATCTAAGTGGATGCTCGCACAAACCCAGGTGGCCGGCTGAATCCGGCATCTAGCAGTGCCTGCCGTCTTTGCCCAACAGCCTGCGGATCGAAATGAGGGGCAAAGAAACAAATCCTGTGATATAGACTTACCGCATTGAGCTTGTCCATCATCTCGACCGTCTTCTCCCAGTTCACGCATGCGTCCGTGATGCTGACGCCCCACTTCAGGTTCTTGGCGCCCTCGCTGGGGACGTCTTGTCGGCCCTCGTTGATGTTGGATTCGACCATAACACCCGTGATGTTCCGCTCGCCTGCTGCAAGCTGCTCGCAGATCGAGTCAATGACGAGCGGCTGGTTGTTGTGGTTTTTCTGCGAGTTTCCATCTAGCGTCAATCACATCAGAACACATGGTCAATGTGCAAAGTCTAGACATACGACTGCAATCGACCATTATGCTCGCCCACTCCTTCTTCTTCGTGATGGCCTTCGTAGCTTCTTTGACGTGCTCGCTGGCATAGTTAGGGCCTTTGGTCCCGCCTCGGAGAATAACGTGGGTGTCCTGGTTGCCGCGGGTTTTAACGATGGAAGCCAGGCCTGTGCGAGTCGTCAGCGGCGATAGCAGCGGCGGGAGTGAGGGACATTACCCTGCTCTGTAACACCCATGAAGGCATGGGGGGATCCAGCAGAGAACATCGCGTCGATGGCGACCGAGACGCTGAGAAGGGTCAGATTCATCGGGCCCAAAAGAGTTAGTTCGACCGATTAACCTGCCATCCGTGCCATTTTTGAAGCCAATGGGGAAAGACACGCCAGAGGCCAGCTCTCGGTGGAGCTGCGACTCGGTTGTCCGAGCTCCAATAGCTCCCCACGATATTACTGTAAAAATAGGTTGGATTGGGAATACGGACTTGAAGTGGGGCGCACTAACAGTCGGCAATGTATTGCGGGGAGATTGTATCGAGCAGTTCCGAGCCTACCGGAACGCCCGCGTCTGTGATATCACAAAGTAACTGTCGCGCGAGCCGTAGACCTTTGTTAATCTTAAAAGAGCCATTGATGTCGGGGTCGTTGATTAGACCCTTCCATCCGACAGTCGTGCGTGGTTTCTGCGGACGTTCAGAAGGTGCTTGTCCAACAGTATAGAGAAAGTCACCTCACTACAATATATTCGGCGGTAATCAGCGGAAGTAGAGAGTGATATAAAATCAATGGTGACCCACAAGTAAGCCCGCATGATGATCAGAAGATTGGACCACTCCGACATTTTGGACTTGAGAAGGCTCGCGTACTCGAGGGCCTGTTCGGGTGAATGGATCGAACAGGGACCAATGATGACGACGACGCGATCGTCGTGGCCGGCGACAATGCGCGCTGCATTGTAACGCGCAGAGGCGATAGTCTTCTGCGAGTTCGCGGTGGAGACGATCTCGTGCCTAAGCAGCGCGGGCTGGACCAGCGGATCGTACTGTCTTCATGTGAATAGAGCTGCGTGCTCGATGGCGAGTGCACCTACACCGATGACACGCCGGTCCTGGATATACTGCTGGACCTTTTCTGCGTCTTCAAAGTCGGGGAACGGGCTAACGATGTACATGTCGTCCTTGGGAATGGCTGGAGTTGTTGAGGGAAAAAAAGTTGGAAGGACGGCAAAGGGTAGCTACCGAATCTGAACGCATTCCGCGAGTCTTTTATAGATTCCTGGGTAGACGACATCTGGGGCAAACGTTCGAGTCAGAAGCTACTTAGGTCAGCGTAGCACAGTGTTCCACACGCCACAGTGTGTATACGGGGAAAGATCGTCAAAGCGGTAAGTGATCAAGAATCAATGAGCTGAAAACGTGTGGCAGTGCCACTTGCTGTTTCTTCTGTGGACCTGTCGGCCTCCGACTCGGCCGTCGTAACTTTAAGTCACAGTGATCCTGAACCACTTCAGAAGATCACGCATAGAGAGCTATACGTAGAGGCTGAGACGCGCCCATGTCTCGAATACCTGTTTCCCTTAAGCCCAGTAGTAATCTTCTCTGTCGACTCAACTGCACACGAATTGACCCATTACATGCTAGTTCCGGCTTTCTGCATAAAGTCCTCGACTCTCGAGCCATGCTTGGTCAAGGTCGCACCCCCTGTCCCCTCTGGCCCAAATTCTCTTGAGCCACGTAGTACATCTATTGCAATCCCGAAAGGCCAGAAGGTTTTCATAAATATAGCCTGGGCGGCCGAGGTTCCTGCTCCGCCAGAGGGTAATGAGGAGGCGATACAACGTGCCATGCTCGGCGAGGACGATACGGATCACCTCAACCCCGATGCCTGGTTTGTTCCCGTTGTCGTCTCCGACCCCAAACAGGATACAGATAAAGGTCTGTATTCGTACGATTCCTTGGATTCCCTGCTCTGGTGTCTCCTCCGATCAGGTCGAGCCGGTATTGCGATCTTCGTGTACTGCAAAGCTCTGTTACCTGCCAAGCATCCTTGTATCTCTGATTCAAGTGCTGACCGATTCTTTGGTAGCCGGCAAATCGTCTCTTGTGTTTGACTGTATATACCACACCTCTATCCGGTCGCGGACGGTCCGAGATCCCGTATTCAAGACGTTTATTCAAGGCGCGTTAATCTCACCGCTTACTGTATGTACTTACCATTTCCCCCCTTCCAGAGCTCGCCCTCCAACGTATAGAAGCTCAAACCTCTCTGGTCCTTTCGCGGCAGATATCTACCCCAAAT